CCCGAAGAACCTCGTGCCGCAATCGCGCGTGCTCACGCGGGACCAACTGGAGCGCATCGAGCGCCTGATGGTGCGGGAGAACGCGGCGGCACACCCCGGCACGCGATCACCGCAAGCGCTGCAGAACTACTGCCTCTCGCTGGCGGAGCGCGTAGCGCCCCTGCTCTGCCCCGCGCAGTCCCTCCGCAGCCCGCTCGCATCCACCATTGTCAACAACCTGCTCAGCTCGTACGTGATCTACCCCATCATCAGCATGTGCTGTAACGCCGACTTCATCAACACGCGCATCGTATTCCTGTTTGGGCCGGACGCGGACCCGGCCAAGTTTGCGCAGTCGTCACCGTCAACAACGCCGCTGCTGCACCGGCTCTTCACGGGGATTACACCGCGAGCACGCGCAACGGCGCTGACAAAGCGCCTGCCAGACGTGCTGATGCGCTACGAGATGCTGTTTGCAAAGTTCCAGGCGTTTCTCTGCGAGCACGACGCCATTGACCTGTTGGTGTTTGTGACGAACGTGGACGAGTGGACGGCAGAGCTGATCCAAGAGAACATCAGCCGCAAGGAGCAGCAACTGCAACAACAACAACAACAACAACAACAACAACAACAACAACAACAACAACAACAACAACAACAACAACAACAACAACAACAACAACAACAACAACAACAACAGCACCAGCCACAACAACACCACCACCACCAGCAGCAGCAGCAACAAGCGCAGAATGATGAAGCAGGGGAGGCGCGGAGTAAAGCGACAGACCACCACCACCACAAACAGCAGAATGAGCCTGGTGCCAGTGCTGACACGCAATTGCCATCTAACGTCGGCCCGACAGCACCACAGCCGTCCCCTCACGTGGCGGCCGAGGACACAGTTTCCTCTGCAGCAGCAGCAACAACAGCAGGGACAGCAGCCTCGTCAATCTCATCATCATCATCGTCGTCAACCTCATCATCATCATCATCATCATCACCGCCGCTGACCGATGACGCCGGCGAGTGGAAGGAGCGGTCACAGCGCGTGTTCCAGTCGCTGCTCGAGGTGCATGTCAGTGACAACGGGTTTCTCGTCGAGCCAGACGTGCTGGCGGAGATTCGAGCGAAGATTGAGCAGCCAGACTTTGCGCCAACACAGGACCTGTTTCTTGCGCCGTACCAGCGCGTGTACCGCGTGCTCGAAACCGAGCTCTTCCCCCAGTTCCTGGAGAGCCCCCACTTCTTCTCCGAACTCGTCGGCAACCAGGCAAGGGACCTCCCCACCGCCAACGCCACCACCAACATTAGCAGCAGCAGCAGCAGCAGCAGCAGCAGTCGGCGACCACAGCAGGTCGGGGTGTCTGCGCGGGAGCTGGAGGCGATGAAGTTGCCGCCACCGCCATCCGCTGACACCGGTGACGACGACGCAAGCGGACACACACGCACAGGCTCGTCCGATGCAAGCAGCAACGCAACCAGTGGGCCACAGAGGTGAGCTGCCTGTGCACGTGTGTGTGTGTGTGTGTGTTTGTGTTTGTGTGTGTGTGTGTGTGTTTGCGTGGTAGTGAATACTTGCGTGCATGTATGTCTGCGCGTGTTACGTTGACCTGTGTCAGTGGTGCAAGTCTGAGTGAGCCCCGGCAATACCTTACTCATGCCAACTTTCCACTGTGCACTTGTCTGCAGTCGGAACAGAAGCACCTCCGCTGCTCCAACACAACATCACAGGTGTGCAACCGCGCTTGCCATGATCCTCGCCAACGTTTTGTTGTCAGTGATTGCGTTTTGCATCCCTCACGATGTACGGGTATGTGTGCATGCATGTGTGTGCATGTGCGTGCATGTGTGTGTGTTTGCGTGCATGTGTATGCGTGGGTGTGCATGTGTGTATGTGTGTATGTGTATGTGTGTGTGTGTGTACAGGACGCCGTCGGACGCGTCTGAGGAGCGTCGCTCTCGATCGTCGACGCTCACATCCGTATTTGGTGCGCACTCGTTGTGCTGCTGCCTTCGTCTGCATCCACACATGTTTGCGCTGATGAATACCAGCTTAAGCCTCAACTGACACACACACACGCACATATATGCACACACACGCATATGCACACACACGCACACACACACACACACACGCCAATGTATCCATATCTCCCTGCAGGTGATGCCGAGGAGGACTTGGTGGATCCGTCTGCGAATGTGAATCTTGAGGTGACGGAGGACGTGGACGAGCACGACGACACACACGCGGGCGCCGACGACCACGAGACACCGCTCAAGACCCTCTCACTCGAGGTGAGCACACCATTTTGCGTGTGTGTGTGTGTGTGTGTGTGTGTGTGTGTGTGTGTGTGTGTGTGTGTGTGTGTGTGCAACGCGTGGTGCCTCAGCATCAGCTCTGTTAGATTTCACTCATATCTTCGTACACCGCCACATTTTGCCTCAACTGCTTCTAAGGGCATCTCTGTACGCATGAAGCAACCTTCCATCGTCAAACGCCTCGGTAGACAGGTGGGTGTATGTGTTTATGTACATGGTGTGTATGTACATGGTGTGCGTGTTGTGCGTGTGGTGCGTGTGTGTGCGTACGCGGATGTGTGCGTACGCGGATGTGTGTTGTGCTGTTCACCATGGTGTGGTGCTGCGCTCACGCGTGCGAGTATGGTGGTGCAGTATTGCGTGTACAACATGGAGGTGATCCTCAACCCAGACGAGTCGCAGCGCAAGAACACCGTTTTCAGAGAAGACTACGGGAACATGTGGGAAATATCAAGGTCAGTTGCACGATGAGCAGAGAGGTCGATGCAGCCTCTGCCAGTCGTTGTTTGTTTGTTTGTTTGTTGGTTTGTTGGTTGGTTGGTTGGTTTGTTTGTTTGTTTGTTGGTTTGCTTGTTCGTGTGGTACAGGGTTTGGCTCATCTGAACAACTGTTGCTGGGAGAGCGGATTGGTGGATGGTCTTCATCGTTCGAGCATACACACCAACGCATACCTCCTCTCGCACATCTTTTCTCTCGCGCACTCAAACACCCATCCCATGGCATCCCAACCCCCCACACCGCCACAACACCAGGCGTTACAGCGAATTCCACGCGCTGGACCGCATCATCCGGTCATTCTATCCGGAGAAACTGCCGCTGCCGGAGAAAACGGCCGTTCGAAACACAACGCAGAAGCACATCGAGGAGCGACGCAGGGCGCTCGGCGTCTACATGCAGGTGCTGGTGGCGACGATGATGGTGTCGGTGGCCGTGGTGGTCTGATTTGTTGTTGTGATGATGGTGATCTTGGTTACAATGATCGTGATCATCGTCATGGTTATGCTAGTGCTTGCGAATGTGATTGTGATTGCCGCTCGGATGCGGAAAGTCGTTGATGGGGCCGGGTTCGTGATGAATAATACGATTGCACTTCCTGCC